ATGTTTTTCGAGGTATCCGGCTGAATGTCACCTCCCCTCCCCACAGTGCGCTTGCGTTTAAAAACTGCGCGGTGCTGATCTCCATTTCCAGGCAGGTACTCTGGCCAAACCCAAGGTCAAGCAGTTTGCCATTGACCGTAGACTAGACTAAATGGTCAGATTTCTAACTCGGGTGCGTTAACTTTCTCGCTTCCTGTAGGGCCTCATCTTGCATTTGCGAAGGAGGGGCTCCCTCCCCCAGTCACAGCCTCTCCCCCTGCGTCCTAACTCTCCGCCCCGGAGTCAGCTCGCTCAGGCGCCCTCTAAGGCTGCAGGTGCTAGAGTCTCCAAACCGCCATTTCATCACGCAGAGTCCCTTCGGGAAACGCCAAAATACGTTTAACAGCTGTGGGCATTAAAAAAAAATTTCTCAGAGCTCCTATCGCGGATAAGTTACCGTGGACTGAGGCNAGGCATTAAAAAAAAAATTTCTCAGAGCTCCTATCGCGGATAAGTTACCGTGGACTTAGGCAATTCGCTTAGGAACTTAAATTGTGTAACTTTCCCCAGACAGTTTAAGAGCATTTGGGTACCACTCGGCCCCCTCCCCATGCCCAGCATGTCCATCACCTACTCCTGTGGCAGTATCTTGTGACTGAAGTCCACACCGCCTGTTCTGATACCTTTAGTGAAAGCTTATGTCCACTACATTCACGCTGTACTTTCAAGGACAGCAAATATCACGATCTTTTACAGAAAAAGTTGGCCGACCCTTGTTTTAACAAGCTCTTTGAGCGATTAAGTGCGCTCAGGTTTGAGAAAGCCAGCGCGGCACAGTGGCTGGAAGTAGAAACCACTTCAATGCCTCGGTTTAATTTCTCATCCCCTTTCGTGCTCACTAAACCCACTGTCAAGAATCCCACTAAGACACCTTTTACTTAAAACAGTGCAAGGCGCTTTCAGATTCTCACATTTTCTTTAGAATTTTTAATGGATCCTGGAGGCTTTTTAAAAGCCAGTAAGATATTTTCTTTGTACAGTATCACAGAGGCTGAACAGGCGGGAAAATGTTTCCTTTCCTGAGAGAAATTAAACCAAGAACTAAATCGGCGGGGGAGGAAGTGGGTGGAGCAGGGACTGTCGAATCGGAGCGCGAGAGTCGATATAAATACTGGGCTGGCTGGTTTCACTCAGTGTTAAGTTGTCACCACTGAGCCATGGCTCGGACGAAGCAGACGGCGCGCAAGTCCACGGGCGGGAAGGCGCCGCGCAAGCAGCTGGCGACCAAGGCGGCCCGCAAGAGCGCGCCGGCCACGGGCGGCGTGAAGAAGCCGCACCGCTACCGGCCCGGCACGGTGGCGCTGCGCGAGATCCGCCGCTACCAGAAGTCCACGGAGCTGCTGATCCGCAAGCTGCCCTTCCAGCGCCTGGTGCGCGAGATCGCGCAGGACTTCAAGACCGACCTGCGCTTCCAGAGCTCGGCCGTCATGGCGCTGCAGGAGGCGTGCGAGGCCTACCTGGTGGGGCTCTTCGAGGACACCAACCTGTGCGCCATCCACGCCAAGCGCGTCACCATCATGCCCAAGGACATCCAGCTCGCGCGCCGCATCCGTGGGGAGAGGGCTTAAGTTTTTTCCTTTTTCCTCAATGTGCCCTACCCCAAAAAGGCTCTTTTCAGAGCCCCTCAATTCTCTCCAATAAAGAGCTGTTGCTTCTAGAGTGTGGCAGGCTCATGAAAAATAGGCATGTTTACACGAGGTAGCGGTTCTGGAGGCATTTACAGTGCCACACGCCTATTGGCCTACTGCACACTTGAAGGGTGTGGTGGTCGCAGCTGGCTGTGTGCCCTGTAAACCTAACTATTCTGTGCCTGGTCCTTGTTGCTACTCTGCTCTGAGGTTCCAGTTTCTAGAAAAGCACCCTTAACAATGACTCGGTCATTTTTTCAGCTAAACATTCGGCTACAAGAAGTTGAAGGAAGACTGTCCCAATCCTTTGACGAGTTTAGTTAAATTGCTGTGAGTTATGGAATTGGAATGCAGTTTAAATTTTCTGAAGTATTTTGGCTCCTTTTCTTTAGAGATGTGCCTCTCATTTGCTTTCCTGTCAGAAGTAACAAGTATTGCCAAGTTTAAAATCTTGCTGATTTTTGTTTCAATGTAATGACAGTGTTGCTGTGTGCTTTGTGTATGTGACTGGGAAGGGTGGGCGGACAACCTGTGGGCTGTAGGCGATTCTCTGCAAAATGAGTTCCCAATATCTCTGAAAATGAAAGTCAATTTTTAAAAATTTGCCCAAGTGTTTTAAGTATGTGCTTGCAAGTCTATGATGAAATTTTATGATATTTTTCTTTTGTTTACAAATAGACTAGGGATTAAATTTGAAATGTCATTTTAAAGCTGTTTCTTGCTTGCACTCTTAGGAATCTGGGTTTTTAACTGAACTTGGCTGTTTATTTTGTCCAGTATTTTCAGTTTTTCAGTCTCCTTGTGTGTTCATATATGACTATCAACGCCTCATTTTGCTGCTTACCTTTTGGGGGTGGCACAGCCTAACTCCAGGAGGTAGTGTTATATGGAAGCACTTTTTCTCCAGTGTACTTTCAGTCAGGCCAGCCATCTGGGCCTTCCCTCCCTGTTTTTGGATTTGCCCTTCCAGATTCAGCAAAAATTCTAACTGATGGGGCCAGAAGCCTCTCCCTACAGAGTAGTTTGAAGCTCCTTTAGGGGCCGTCAGGTGTAGGGACAAGATGCTGCCTGTTCCAAGCTTCAGAAATTGTCCTCTCCCCACACCTTCTAGTATCTTCCCATCACAATAGATCCAGGTGGTCTACATTCAAAACCTCAGGGCCACCAATTATTAGATGTATAACCTTTGGCAAGTTACCCACCCTCTTCTGGGCCTCAGCTTGAATAGCTGCAAAATGTGTCAAATAAAATCTGCAGAGCATCCTTCAATTAGCTCCTGGCACTTTGTAAAATGCTGAATGCACATTAGCTGTTATTTTTATGCCTCTCTCTCCTACCCCTAAAGCATAGAGGTTTCCACCCCCATCCTAACCCACCAGCCCCAGATCTTCTAAAAGTTTTGTGATTGAAACAGTGGAAAGTGCTTGCTTGAAACATTTTCTTGTTAAGATCTCCTTTTAGTTCTTGGTTCCCATTGTTCTGAGTCAGGCTTGTAGCAAGGTACCACGACCCATGTCCCTGTCAATGAGTACAAAACTGTAAAAGCACCAGATAGTCAATATTTTAGGTTTTGCTGGCAACATGTAGTCTCTCACATTTTCATCTACATAATTTTAAAAATCCACACACCATTTTTAGCTTGAGGACTGTACAAAAACAGACCACTGTCCAGATATGGCTACAGCTTCAACTCCAGGAACTCTTTGAAAGAAGTGTGTTGGCTATTTGGCTCCAGTGTTTCCCAGGGAACACTAAGTACTGTTGATGGTATTAGAGGTCACAATCATCACTTCATTTCCCTTACCTTCCAGGTCAGGCACAAAATCTTGTTCATTTTCCACCCTCTGCTCCTTCCAAGTCAATAGCAAACTTCTTCACCCTCTACTCTAGCTTCATGGTCCTTGCCTCAGTTCCTGTTGAATGTTAATGTTTTCCTGAATTCTTCTGAGTTTAGGAAGTTCCCAATCCACCCTTATTATAGTCAGTATCCAATTATTTTTTCTAAAATACAGGTCTATATTTGCTTATACACAATAATATCAATATTGATGTCACCTGTCTGCTTACAGAAGAGGGTGTTCCTGACAGTGCAATTAGTTAAATGTTGACAGACATGAGTTTGAATGAGAGCATTGGGAAAGCACCTTGAAAGTTGACAAAACCCCATTTGTGCTTTTGATAGCTACTGGAAGCCCTTGAGTAATTTTTTAAAGCAGGTTCCAGAGTTTTTCTAAAACATTATCTAAATTTTTTTCCTCCTTGTTTTCATAGATTTTGATAGGGACAAAGCAGACAACGCATCAATAAAAGACACATCAAATTTAATTTTTAATTTGAATCTAGGTCTTTGGATCCTGCAGTCAAAGAAGTTGCTATTTCCCCTCCTGCAACTGAACTTTTCCAAGCTGAATAATATCTCTCTCTAAAGACATAGGCACATGGAAACTTGTAGGAGGCAGAACCGGTTTTCAAAGTCGGGTATACTGTTTACCTGCTGCCCCACGCCTGTGCTGCTTGCTACATTTAGAAACAAAGTTTATGCTCAAACGAATGAACCTAGTGCCTTTTCTCTTGTAAAAATCAAAGCCAGAATTTAGAGACAAAGCTTTTTAAAAAACGTTCATTTGAGACTTAGTAGAAATTTATTGCCACAGGCAACTAAGTAGCACCACGCCCTAAGCCGAGTGGACTCCTATGGAAAACTGAAGTGATTTAAAAATATATCTTTCATCAACTGCACTTGATTCATAAAAACACAGACAAGTAAGTGAACTGGGAGACTGTTTTCCTCCTTTTGAGCTTCAAAGTGTCACATTCTGTACCGTGTCTTCAGCATTTAATGGGACTTCTGGGATTAAAAACACAATTTGGAAATCCAACCGCTAAAGGCGGCCGCCCGAGGGCGGTGGATCGGACGTCCCACCAATCACAGCGCAGCCTCGGCTTATATAAGCCCGGGCCCGAGCGCGGCAGCACCGCGAACTCGCGCTTTGGATTCTGAACACTCTCTCCTCTGGCAGCCGCTCCCCTCGCCATGTCGGAGACCGCTCCCGCTGAGACGGCCGCGCCCGCGCCGGTGGAGAAGTCCCCGGCCAAGAAGAAGGCGGCGAAGAAGGCGGGCGGGGCCGCCAAGCGCAAGGCGTCCGGGCCGCCGGTGTCCGAGCTCATCACCAAGGCCGTGGCCGCGTCCAAGGAGCGCAATGGTCTGTCTCTGGCCGCGCTCAAGAAGGCGCTGGCGGCCGCGGGCTACGACGTGGAGAAGAACAACAGCCGCATCAAGCTGGGCCTCAGGAGCCTGGTGAGCAAGGGCACCCTGGTGCAGACCAAGGGCACCGGCGCCTCGGGCTCCTTCAAGCTCAACAAGAAGGCGGCCTCCGGCGACGCCAAGCCCAAGGCCAAGAAGGCGGGCGCGGCCAAGCCCAGGAAGCCTGCAGGGTCAACCCCTAAGAAGCCCAAGAAGGCTGCAGGCGCCAAGAAAGCTGTGAAGAAGACCCCCAAAAAGGCGAAGAAGCCCGCGGCCACCGGCGTCAAGAAGGTGGCCAAGAGCCCCAAGAAGGCTAAGGCCCCCGCCAAGCCTAAGAAGGCAGCCAAAAGCCCGGCCAAGCCCAAAGCGGTGAAGCCTAAAGCGGCCAAGCCCAAGGCCGCCAAACCCAAGGCAGCCAAGCCTAAGGCTGCGAAGGCCAAGAAGGCGGCTCCTAAGAAGAAGTAGGAAGTTCGTCGTTTTAAAGGCGACCCAACCCAAAGGCTCTTTTCAGAGCCACCCAAAGGCGCCTGAAAGCAGCTGTGCACTTGCACCTCTACACCAAATGCAGCCCTTTGGCGGTTCAGGAAAAGTTTAGTCTCAGTGAGCAACAGCCCCTCTGCCGTTCCCCCCCCGCCTTATCCTGTATCCGCACTACCACATGGTGGCCATTTCCTTATCAATTAGCTGTTTAACACGGCTGTTATAAGCTCTTCTGGGGAAAACGTGGGTGGCTCTGAAAAGAGCCTTTGGTGTTGAACGTTGCTACTAATGCCTTATTTGCCCTTGGCCTTGTGGTGGCTCTCGGTCTTCTTGGGCAGCAGCACGGCCTGGATGTTGGGCAGGACGCCGCCCTGCGCGATGGTGACCTTGCCCAGCAGCTTGTTGAGCTCCTCGTCGTTGCGGATGGCCAGCTGCAGGTGGCGCGGGATGATGCGCGTCTTCTTGTTGTCGCGGGCCGCGTTGCCCGCCAGCTCCAGGATCTCGGCCGTCAGGTACTCCAGCACGGCCGCCAGGTACACGGGCGCGCCGGCCCCGACCCGCTCCGCGTAGTTGCCCTTGCGCAGCAGGCGGTGCACGCGGCCCACGGGGAACTGCAGCCCGGCCCGCGAGGAGCGCGTCTTGGCCTTGGCGCGCGCCTTGCCGCCCTGCTTCCCGCGTCCAGACATTGTAAGCTTATAGAACTTCACTACAAGTAGCTGCTAAAGCGAAGTGCAGGGGCGGCACTTTTTATAAACGTTTTTGGGCGCGAAAATGCAGACATGTCATTGGTTAACATCTCAGCTTCATCTTAACCAGTGAAAACGCAAATTTGGAATTCTTGCGTTCTGATTGGACAGAGCTAATTTTATGACGTTGCTCTGAATAGCCACCAATCAGACGCAGGATTTTAGTTTTTCACCTTATTTGCATGCGATGTTTTATATAAATACGACACATCCTACCTCACTCTTACTATTTCTCTGCTTTTAGCGACCACGTCTGTTGTTCTCCCGACCATGCCCGAGCCGGCCAAGTCCGCGCCCGCCCCGAAGAAGGGCTCCAAGAAGGCGGTGACCAAGGCGCAGAAGAAGGACGGCAAGAAGCGCAAGCGCAGCCGCAAGGAGAGCTACTCGGTCTACGTGTACAAGGTGCTGAAGCAGGTGCACCCCGACACCGGCATCTCGTCCAAGGCCATGGGCATCATGAACTCCTTCGTCAACGACATCTTCGAGCGCATCGCGGGCGAGGCGTCGCGCCTGGCGCATTACAACAAGCGCTCGACCATCACGTCGCGGGAGATCCAGACGGCCGTGCGCCTGCTGCTGCCCGGCGAGCTGGCCAAGCACGCCGTGTCCGAGGGCACCAAGGCCGTCACCAAGTACACCAGCTCCAAGTAGACTCGCGAGTAAGCGGCCGTGTCCTAACCCCAAAGGCTCTTTTCAGAGCCATTCTGTTTTCTGAAGAGAACTGTGACTCCCTTTTTTACGTTTATTTTCCTCCGCAAAAAGTTTCCCAGTTGCCTTACTGCTTTTGTTAAAAGTGCTTTCACTAGAATGCAGTGCACGCTGCCGCATCCCTGTTTGGTTTTACATGGGTCTCTCAGTAAGTACCAGGTTCATTACCAGACGCCCAGTAAAGCAACATACTTTCTCAAAACAATTCAGTCGCCTTTGAAACTGTCAATCTGGCGAAACGTTTCTTAGTATTTTTTGAGTGTTCTTGATTTAATGTGTACATTGCTAATATAGCTCTTGGCACACACTGAAAACAAGTTTTCTTTTTCCCCTTGGGGGTGCATGGCAATGCTGGTCCTCCTCCCTTTCCTTGTGTGTTGGTTTCTTAAATATTAAGTTAGGAATGAAAAAGGAGAAGAAATGGAAATGAGAGCACAATTCTAGAATCTTATTCATCCAACAGCCCCACGTGAGCAGCAGCGATGGCACTTCCAGGTGCTGCACTGGTAGTTTGAAATGAACTGCAGATTTCCCTGTGCCCCTCGTCTTTGGAGAATTCTGGGCGTGGGGATTTGTGGGGGAACTGCCATTTTACCCACTTTCTCATATTTCTTAAGTTACTCTTTCTGTCAAATCTGCTCTATGTTTTCTTTCTGCTTCTCTTGCATGTACTGTTTCTCTACTAATTGGAAGAAATTTTTAAAAATTACAAGGTAGAGCAGAAAAACAGGGCAGTGGGGCCAGGGCTTTGGTAACCAGTACCGAAGACCCGTGATCGCATCCTTGCCCTGGGACTGCGCCTGTGCCTGTGGCAGCTGCCATTCAAGGGCACAGAGAAAAAAAATAACAGGAGGTGGACCATTCCCCACCCCCAACCCAAGAAGCTGAAATCCATCTCCATTTTCCTTAGGAATGACATAGGTATTTAAAACTGTTTTGGCCTTTGCCCAGGATCAGTGTGGAATGGCTTCCGTGTTGAATTGTATTTGCTGAAAGTTTTGACAATACCCTGTATTCAATTACATTACTCCAGTGGCTCAACAGTTTCACTCCCAGGTGTTTTCATGAGAATATTCTGCACATGTGTGATGAGACATGCTACAACGGAGCAGTGTTATTTTTAATGGCAAACTACTAGAAGCAACCACACGTTCATGGCCAGAGTAATAAATATTTATTGAGGTGACATTTATTGAGGCACATTCACACAATGGGAGAGCATATAGCAGAGAAAACAGCTGAAACACACAGCACTTAGTTGAATTTTAGAAATATAAATCTCATAAGGTTGATATGTGGTACCTTTTTATAAAGCTGGACAAGAAAACCAAATTTCTATTGAAGCACATGTAAATATGTGATTTAAAAAATATTTTTAAGAGGTAGCTTCATAAATAAATGTTTGAAAATATCAGTCAGTGGATATCTTTGATACAGGCAGGGCAAGGGTATAGATAAAAGCTGAGAGGTAAAAATATAAGTTGTATAAAACAAGTTTCTAGGCATTACCTATTTTGTCATAAGGAAATCTTATGAGGACCCCAAACCTAATGGTATTTCTCTAGATAGTATTACTTTCTTTTAGAGAGTAAGAGAAAAACGCTGACAGAGAGGCCATTAAAAGGGTATGTAGATTCAGAAAACTTAAGATTTTGTCTACAATTGGCAGCCAATCTTCTCCAGCAGTTATGAACCTCCTGTCTACTCAGCTTCTCATAAAAGCTTTGACAGCTCTGTGGAGGGGCCGTGTATGTGTTTGTATGCACATGCATGTATGTATTCCATAATTGTATGTATTTATGAAACTACGTGTGTCTACCACTCCCTCAATTCTGTTAGAAGATAAATTACACTTTTTTTAAAAAAATGTATTTTCTCTCACATCTCTCAAGATATTTGAGGACAGTAAATTCTCCACACATTTAGAGTTTTTAAATCACTACTTTTCAAAGCATATGTACCTTTGATCCTGTCCATTAGTGCACTAATGCAGATAATTCAGCTGCCAATTCTGATACTGTTTTGTTCTGCAGAATGAGGGAATCAGCAGATAATACCCAGGAGAGGGAATGGGACCAGAATTTAGAGGGACTAAGTTACCTGAACACAGATATACTGGGCCTGGAGAATGTGTATGTGTGTGTGTGTTGTATCAGCTGCTTGGGAACTGTCAGCAACGAAGATGATGCCCGTCAGAATACGGAGGAGGGTGGCTAAAATCTGCAGAATGGAGAGGAACTTGCAGAGAACATTCGGGCCCTCTAGACAAGGTTCACATAGCAGCTCTCTCACACTCCAATATTAGAAAAAATTCCTAAAAGAAAGGGAGAAAAAAATTAAAGAAATCAAAACTAGGTCTTGCGGGTTACTTGCACCCTGGTGAGCCAGGAGTAATGAACCCAGACTCATTTATGCCATTGCTGATCAGCCTTGGGAAGCGATTCCAGGGAATCCAAACCAGAATGTCACTGGTGTTCATTGGAATTTATAGCTGGTGGCTCCACATGATTTTCCCCAACTAATTTTTTTTGTCAATATTTTGACCTAAAGAACAATTTATAGAACAGAAGGAAATCAGAGCATAGAAACAGGTGAGAAAAATCTAACCCTAACAAATAGTTTTTCCCAAGTTTTATCACCTGAGTAGACATGGGCTGCTCCACGCCTGCTACTTCGATGAGCCTATGAATCTCTCTTTCTGTAATGTTTTTTTAAAAAAATTAGGGAGAGACTCAAGATGCCTGGTTAAGGATTACAAGCTGTAGGGGGTTTTTTTGTATTTTTAAAAAATATATCTATTGATTTAAGAGAAAGGGAGAGGGAGAGGGAGAAAGAGAAAGAGAAAGAGCGATTGGTGCCTCCCATAAACGCCCCAACTGGGGACTGAACCCACAGCCGAGGTATGTGCCCTGACCCGGAATTGATCATGCAAACTTTTGGTGTCCAGGCGATGCTCCAACCGACTGAGCCACCTGGCCAGGGCAAGCCTCTGATTCTCTCTTTTTTTAAAAAAATTTTATTTTTGTTTAAAATATTACAAATGTCCCTTTTTCTCCCCAGTGGCCCATTCCACTCCATCCCATCCTCTTAATGGTCTGCAAAATGGAGACAATAACAAGGCCCCAAGGGTTTTTTTTTTTTAGGACTTTATGAGATAATGTACACTGATTCTAAGCACATTCTTGGGACCTGGATGAGGTATACATGTAAAAGTTACCATGAAAAATGTATTACATAGATTTTTTTAAAATTTCAACAAATTAAGTAATTATTAAACAGTTTGAGAAATAAATCTAAGTATGACTATAAATGTTTTACCACAATGTGAACTTCTCGAGTTATATATTTTTGTATTTCCTGAGTTAGGCATATATTAGTGGCTCAATTAAATAATACATTAATCAAACCAACATTTTCCTACATCTGTACAAAGTACCATGAGGAGTTCAGGAAATTATGGTACATAGTATGTGAACTTTGGTGGTTAAAATATTGAAATAGAGAGTAAAAATATTCTCTTTTCCATGCTCCTTAAATCTTGTATATTGGCAGGTTTTTAAATCTCTTCTGATGTTTGCTAATCCTACCCACCCTGCGCCCTTTCAACTTTATAACAAAAAGCAGGTCTCAAGCTCTATGTAACAGGCAGTAAACAGCATATAACTAGAATTGAATAAAAAATTGTTCCAAAGTGGTGGTGGAAATAAAGAAAACCAAATTTTTTCCATAGTTAGTTTCTGTTCATGGTCAGAGGTAAAAATTTCCCACTAGGGTAGTGATGCAACGTTGTTTTTTAAAATACTATTTTCTAAAGAGTATATTTAAAGAAAATAAAGTAAATAATAGTTTAGGTTATATCCAGATACGGCAAAAAAAAAAAAATTGTGAAAGTGGAACTCAAATGACTGAGTACAATATATGCACCCTCATAAAACAGTACATGACAGAATGATGCTATTATATTTCTATTTAAATTATATATCTATGTCTTTTATATACATATATAATTAAGTATTATAGTATTATATAAAATGTGCATTATATAATTAATGTTAAATATGGTTTAATATAATAATAATTTAATATTGACTGCTGTAGGAATTTGGAGGTAGTAAATATTATTATGGAATGTGACAATCCAGGAAAGTTTCTTGGAAGAGGTGTAAGAAGTTTTGAGCTTGAAAGAAAAGACTGAAGTTACCCCCAAATCCAGCGGTTTAAGACAGCAAACATTTATTACCTCACAGTTTCTGAGGGTCAGGAATCTGGGAGCAGCTTGCTGTGTGGTTCTGGTTCAGGGCCTCTCATGAGGTTGCTGTCGAGGACTTTGATCATATCAAGGCTTGACTGGGCCTTGAGCTTCCAAGGTCCGAGAAGACGGTTCCTTATAATGTTGCCAGCTGGAGGCCTCAGTTCCTCACTCTGTGGGCATCTGAAGAGGCATCTGAAGGAAGCCAAGGGCTGGCCTCCTTCTTCTGGAGCAAGTGACTGGACAGTGAGAGTGACCAAGATGGATTCCTCTCACCTCACCTTGGAAGTGTCCTGCCATTGCTTCGGCCACATCCTGTTGAGCAACCTGCTAGTGCTACCCTCCCCAAGGGACCAGACTTCAGAAGGTGGGTTCCTGGTGCCATCTCAGAGGCTGCTTCCCACGGCTCAACCCTCCCAGTCATCAGCACCACCTGGGGAATTTCAAATACCCTGACACCAAGGCCCCTCCTCTGATCAATTAAATCAGAATCTCTGGGGTTGGGGTAGGTGTACGCAGTGATATTTTTCTTTCTTTCAAAATTCCACCAGCAATTCTGATGCACAATTAAAGCGAAGATTCACTGGATGCAAGAGTGAGAAACGGGACATAAAGCTGATCAAGTGAGAGTGGCCATTCACGGTTTGTTGTGTGGATACTAAGGTACACCTTAGGAGATGATGCCCAGCATTGGTGCAGTAAAGAAATGGACGAATATTAAACCCCATAAATACTCCACTCCCGTAACCAGCCCCCTTCTCCAGGTCAGAGGGGACAGTCACTGCTTTTGTCTGCAGATGTGGCTTCTGGACTCTGTCCTTTGCTCCCTGAGCTCATAAACTCAGCCCAAATCCCGTGCTTTTTATTTCCACAAGCCTAAGGCCTTCTGTCTTTTAATGGGAAAAGGCTGAGTAACAGCTAGAAAAGCAGAAAAGATGTTGGGATTTAAAATCGTATCTGATGGTCTGTAGAATGCTGGGGACTCCTATCTCCAGAGGGGTCCCCGAAGAGCTGGGCAGCCCTGAAGCTCCTGCGCACACGCCGGGAGCCTGCGCTGTCCCCTGGAGGAAAAGCGACCTGACCCCTGTCCTGACCCCTGTCCTGCCCCGTCCCCCCGGGTCGAAAGGACTGCCTCCCACTTAGGACTTCTCGCTCGTCGAGAAAGGGGGGTGGGAGTGAGCGGTTAAAAGTGGGAGGAAATGTGGAGCTGGCCCAAGAACACTTGGCAAGGTTACAATCGCCCTGGAAGGAGGTGAAACATTAAAACGGCGAAAAACACGAAGCAGGATCAGGCCGCGTCCGGAGCAAGCAGGAGGGTGCGGGTGGTGTTGCGGAGCCCTTCCCTGCTCCGGACGCGTGCCCCCGGAGCCCCCGAGGAAATTCAAACTGCGGCAGAAGCGTCTGGACGAGCGAGGCTCGCCCCTAACTGGTGAAAGATGTTTCGCTTCTAACTTCCTTTCCCCGCGTTCATCCCAGCGCCGCTGGGATGTGTTGTGCAGGCGCAGGCCCGGTGAGGTGGCCGGGCGCAGACCACAGCTGCTGCTACAAAAAGGGGGTTCCCTTAAATCGATTTATGGGATGTTCATGCAGCGGGGGGTGGGGGCGGCGCCGTGGCCTCTGAAGGGACTTAGCTCTCAGCCAACGGTCCTCACTAGGAGCTGGTCGTGTTTCACCGTGAAGAGCGCCTGCGGTTCTCTAGTCACTAACCAGTTTCCTCCACCCGGGATTCTCAGCAGTATATTGAGCCTGGGTGTCAGGTGGAATCAGCATCAGAAATGAATCGTGTTTGGCGCTTGTAATATTTCCTTAAAAATTGTTAGCAATCTAATATGAAACACACAATGCCCAGTGGGACTTTTACACAAACTAAGAAGCATTTTACAGTCTTCAGATTAAAAACTGACATTGCCTACCTCTTAAGCAGGATAAAGTGAGTGCCAGTTCTCTCTGAGAAACCTGGATGGCTCTGAAAAGAGCCTTTGGGTGTGAGCGAGACCGATCAGTCGCTCTGCCGGGGCATCACTTGGAGCTGGTGTACTTGGTGACGGCCTTGGTGCCCTCGGACACGGCGTGCTTGGCCAGCTCCCCGGGCAGCAGCAGGCGCACGGCCGTCTGGATCTCCCGCGACGTGATGGTCGAGCGCTTGTTGTAATGCGCCAGGCGCGACGCCTCGCCCGCGATGCGCTCGAAGATGTCGTTGACGAAGGAGTTCATGATGCCCATGGCCTTGGACGAGATGCCGGTGTCGGGGTGCACCTGCTTCAGCACCTTGTACACGTAGACCGAGTAGCTCTCCTTGCGGCTGCGCTTGCGCTTCTTGCCGTCCTTCTTCTGCGCCTTGGTCACCGCCTTCTTGGAGCCCTTCTTCGGGGCGGGCGCGGACTTGGCCGGCTCGGGCATGGTCGGGAGAGCAACAGACGTGGTCGCTAAAAGCAGAGAAATAGTAAGAGTGAGGTAGGATGTGTCGTATTTATATAAAACATCGCATGCAAATAAGGTGAAAAACTAAAATCCTGCGTCTGATTGGTGGCTATTCAGAGCAACGTCATAAAATTAGCTCTGTCCAATCAGAACGCAAGAATTCCAAATTTGCCTTTTCACTGGTTAAGATGAAGCTGAGATGTTAACCAATGACATGTCTGCATTTTCGCGCCCAAAAACGTTTATAAAAAGTGCCGCCCCTGCACTTCGCTTTAGCAGCTACTTGTAGTGAAGTTCTATAAGCTTACAATGTCTGGACGCGGGAAGCAGGGCGGCAAGGCGCGCGCCAAGGCCAAGACGCGCTCCTCGCGGGCCGGGCTGCAGTTCCCCGTGGGCCGCGTGCACCGCCTGCTGCGCAAGGGCAACTACGCGGAGCGGGTCGGGGCCGGCGCGCCCGTGTACCTGGCGGCCGTGCTGGAGTACCTGACGGCCGAGATCCTGGAGCTGGCGGGCAACGCGGCCCGCGACAACAAGAAGACGCGCATCATCCCGCGCCACCTGCAGCTGGCCATCCGCAACGACGAGGAGCTCAACAAGCTGCTGGGCAAGGTCACCATCGCGCAGGGCGGCGTCCTGCCCAACATCCAGGCCGTGCTGCTGCCCAAGAAGACCGAGAGCCACCACAAGGCCAAGGGCAAATAAGGCATTAGTAGCAACGTTCAACACCAAAGGCTCTTTTCAGAGCCACCCACGTTTTCGCTAAAAGTGCTTTCGTATTGTAGCCGATAACTGAAAATCAACAAAGTGGAAACAGACTCAGAGAATAGACTGACAGCTCTCAGAGGGGGACAGGGTTTCAGGACCATGTGAAAGATGAAGGGATTGAGCAAAAAATAACAAACTCAGACCAGAGAGAAAAGGGTGGGGGAGGTAGGAGGGGGGTGTAAGTGGTAATGAAAGGAGACTTGACTTGTGGTGAGCACATAATACAATACACAGGTGATGTATTATAAGATTGTACACCTGAAACCTAAATAATTAACCAATGTCACTCCAGTTAAAAATACATGTATTTACCGTAGCTCCTCAGCCTACCAGTAGGTGTCAGTGTAAACACCTAGAAAGGTGAAAGTACCTCCAATGAAAACAAAAGTTAGCATCAGCCTAGTAAAAGCGATTAGAGGTGCTCTGCACCAGGTAATTAAGGGGATGAATGCTGCAGGCCCTCAGGGTTAAACCACCAGAAAAACAGGACTGGAATAACAATGCTTGATCAAAGGTGAATATTCAAATACAAATTAGTCAGTGAATGATAAGGCGATAAAGCCACCCATCTGTCTGTTGTTCAAGGGTTGTTTTGCTTCTTAATGAGACTCATCTGCAACTCGCCCAACTTCCACTCAGCAGGGCCCTAGTTGATCGTAAATAAAATTCTTCATGCCCCGGAGTCATACCCTTTAGGCAAAGCTTCTAAACAGGGCCCAGCATGACTTTAAAAAGAGAAACAGTTAATCTTTTTGTATCATTTACAGGTTTGAGGATTTTTTTTCTTAACCCCATTTTACGGAAATCTCAGTTGAAATTGTAAAACTTAGTGGAATGCTTTACATGAGAATGCTAGCTATTGAAAAGTAAATGTCATGTAGCTATAATATCAAACGTGAAAGTTAAACAGACATTTAGAAAAAGCCTATAAAAAACATTTTTTAGTTTCTAAATTTACAGAAATGAAGAAATTGACGTGAAATTAGGCTTCCTAAACTTGAATGAGGCCAAAGAATCACGTGGCCAATCCCATTAGCGCGCCTGTTCAAAATGATCAAAGGAAAGCCAGTTTCAGGTGCCAAATTTTAAAATTTTTATTCATGAAACAAAATATATCATTGTGATATTTACATTAAATTCTGCGGAGAAAAGCCGAAGAACATTGTAGAGAAAAGGCGTGAAGACTGAAGAGGCGAGAAAGGGTAGAAAACAGCGGCTGTTGAAAGGGTGGGTGGGAGGAAGAAGGTAATTTCCGGTCTGAGGGCCGGCGACTCCCCTGAGACCAGAAGCTATCGCCGCCTCCAATAACTTCACTAGGAGTTTGATGGGTAGGTGCCTGGTCCAATCAAAGCGGGGCTCGCCTTATATATATA